AGCGTCCTACTTTACCGGTTATTCCCATTGACTTCATTTTGTGTGCTATCACGCCATGGTCACATTTATCGAAGGCCTTTGCGAAGTCCGTGTATATCACATCAGCATTCTGTTTCTCTTCTAATGCCTCAGTGACTTTGTCGTAGTGCTCAAGTAGCTGTGAGAGGCACGATCTTCCCGCTCGAAATCCATGTTGGCCTGGGTTATGAAGGTCATTGGTCTCCATGAAATTGGTGACCTGACTCCTAATCACTCTCTCAAATACTTTTATGATGTGCGATGTTAGTGCAACTGGTCTATAATTTTTTGCCAATGCTTTGCTCCCTCCCTTGTGTAGAGGGGCTATGTCTGCTGCTTTAAGTGCATCTGGTATCTCCCCCGTGTCCAAGCTCTTCCTTCACACTATACTGAGTGCCTGTGCTACCGGCACTTTGCATTTCTTTATAAATATTGAGTTCCATGAGTCTGGACCTGGGGCCAAGTGCATGGGCATGTTTTCAATTTCTTTTTCAAAATTTAGTGCGCTCGTGTTTATATCAGTTATATTTACCGGGGTTTGAATATCCCGCATAAAGAAATTGTCTGGATCTTCCACCTTCATGTTGTTTATTGGAGTGCTAAACATGTCCTCATACTGCTTTTTTAGGATTTCACTAATTTCTTTGTCATCCTCCGTGTATGAACCTTCACTTGTACGAATAGGTCCAATACTGGCAGTGGTTTTTGCTTTTGATTTCGCATATGAGAAGAAATATTTTGGATTTTTCTTTATTTCCTGAATTGCTTTCTGTTCTAACTGCCTTTCTTCAGTTTCATATGAGTGTTTCAATTTCCGCTCGATTTCTTCAATCTCCCTATTTAAATTATTCGTTCTTTGACGGGAAATTCGTGTCTGCATAAGCAGTTCCGTTATTTTTTTCCTGCGTTTATAGTGTCGTCTGCGTTCTCTTTCTACGTTAGATCTCTTTCTGGCTTTCCTCAAAGGAACATGTTTCAGACAGACTTGATACGCTTCTGAAGTAAGTTTTTCTATTCCTTCTGTAGGACTTGTATTATTTAGAACAGTTCCCCATGGAATGTTTGTAAGTTCCCTGTTTATTATCTCCCAGTCTATCCTTTTATTATTAAAATTGAATTTACTGAATAGCCCCTCTCGCTTTATCAACGTTTTAGGTCTATTCTGAGTATTGATGGTCGTTTGCACTTCAATGAGTTTGTGATCTGAGTATGTGGTATCTGATATCGTAATGTCTCTGATAATGTCTTCATTGTTCGTAAAGACCAGATCTAGAATATTTTCATTTCTCGTTGGCTCCGATATCTGCTGATTGAGTGAAAATTTGTCACAGAATCTAAGTAGTTCTCTAATCTGTGGTTGGTTAGGTCCTGATAGATTTCCTGGTATAATATTATTGTTTGCTATTTTCCACCTGAGACTAGGCAAGTTGAAGTCACCTAGGAAAATAATATCAGGTATCGGGTTCTCCAAATTATCAAGGCTATTCTCTATTTTGCTTATCTGTTCTGTGAATTCCTCAGCCGTTGCATCTGGCGGTTTGTATATTAGTATAATCACTAAATTTATTTTCTCTATTTTTAATCCCAGTACCTCTACCACCTCATTTGTAACGTTTGTCCTTGTCCCTCAAATGTAACACATTTGTGATGTGTTCGGTGTCCAGCTGTAACCGACGCACCGAGTACTTATCAAGTTCCACTCCCCAGCTGTGTTTACAGACTACGCGGCCTATTATGATGGGCATTCGTTTACCCTCCCTAGCGACAGGGGTACCGTCTCTATCTCCAACCACAGTTGCTCTATGAAGTATGTGGCGCTCCATGGTATTCCCTTCGAGTTCACGGAGGCTCTGCTACGACGGTACTTTGGCAAATATAGCACCGTGGCTTCCCACCGGATGAATTCTGTCTCTTCAGGATGGTAGTGTGGGGTCTCGTGTGGTATGAGGACTCTTGCCTTGCGTTTCAAGTTGCCTGTCCCGTCCACTGTGACGTTGATGGGCTATACTATGCGTGCTTTCTATGCAGGACAGCCAAGGACATATTTTTGATGTGGCGGTGAGGAACACCAGGCAGCGGCCTGTGTTGGAGTTGCAGCTGTGCCGGGTGAATTTGTTCTGTGAGGAGGATTTCCCCCCATTGGTTGGCCAAGACCTGTCACCTTTTGATGGTGTGGTGAGGGAGGCTTCCCTGCTGCCTGCTCCTCGGATGGGCTTGCCTGGATCCTCGGCTGGTGTTCCCCTGAGTGTGGATGGTGGTTCTAGTGAAGGGGTGGTTGTGTGATACCACCCCCCCCCCCGCAGTCGGCCTCCTTGGCGCAGCAGCGTGCCCCCTCACCACGATGGGTCTCTTCTCCCTAGCAGGCTCTCTTGCCTCTGCCGGCTCCGGTGCCTTCGCGGGGCGCCCTCACCTGTGCTGGTCCCTTCGCTTCCACCAGCTATACCTATTTTATCTCCAGTTCCGGTTTCCTCTATGGGTGGTGGTCTCGTCCCTCATGTCGTTGAGGCTGATATACTACGAGGTCGTGCTCACCCAGCGGTGGAGCAGCCTGCCGTCGGCTCTTCTCGGGTGTCTCCTGCTGGGGGCGACAGATCAACGCCTGGTTCTCAAGCGTTCTCGGACAGATAGGGGGTTTGTCGCCACCTCGTGCATGGGCTGAGGAGTGTGATGTTGATTCCTCTGTGAGCTCTTCCTCTGTGGAGTGTAACGGTGGTGTGCCAGGCGCTAATGTGGCTCCGGCGGGTGGCTTGGACGTTGGTGTGGCTCCTGTTGTTGGGGTGGGGGCCGGTGTGGATCCCTTGGTTCCAGCTATGGGTGCCTCGCCCGCGGCGGTTAGTTCCGGATCCTCGTGGGGGCTAGTTCCTCCTGCTGGGGTTGCTGGTGTGAACGGTGGACTCGTGGTAGTCCTGAAGAAGACTGTTCACCAGGTGGGTTCCGTGCCATCGCCTCGTGTTCCGTCGGAGACAGTCATACTGCCTCTCGAGTCTTCCCCTCCTTGCCTTTGGTGGGTTTTGCTGCTTCGCCAGTGGCGGGTTTGCTGCCTCTACAATCTCAAGCAGCTTCTTCTGTGTCGCCTGTTTCGTTGGCAGCGGTGGTGCCGCCTCCCCAGTCTCCGCCCCCTTCTTCTGTGTCTTCTGTTTCCTCGGCTGCAGTGTTACCGCCTCTTTGGCCTCACCCTTCATCTTCATCGTTCTCTGCTCGGGGGCATTCGCTTCCGCCCGGGTATCCACTTGGTTTCGTGGTGCTGGAGTTCATGCGGCGTCCTCGGCGGGTTGGGAGTGTCCGCTCTACCGATCAGGAGTGGATTACTTGGAGTGCTTATCTTAGAACGTATCCAAAGGAGGAATTCCCTGAGAAATATGTGGATTAGTGTTTCTTTCTTTCTTTCTGTTGCTCCTAGTGCCTATATGTTGCGGTGTTTTGCTTATGTTGGTGAGTGTGGTGGGGATTAGTGGTTGTGTGTGTGTGTGGTTGGGGTGTTTGTTCCTGGTTTCTCCTGCGCATTCCGGTGTTTATTCTGGTGTATGTATGCGTCTGTTTGTGTGTTTGGGTGTACTGAGTACTTTTCGTATGCCTGGTACGGGATTGTTTTCATGAGGTCTTTTTGCACTATTATATATATATGTCTTTGCTCTGTGGGGTTGGTTGTATTTTTGTGTTCATGTTCTTACGACCTTTTGGGTGTGTTTCTGGCCGTAGTTTTCTGTAAATTTAATTAATGGCCTTTCTGTTTGTTGTTTTCTATTCACTGCCCGAAGGATCTTCTGTTCTTTGTGCTATGTCTCCTGTATGTTTCATTATTTTTTTGTGTGTGTTCTGTGTATCCTGTTTGTTTTCCTTTACTGTTACTTTGTTCTGTGCATCCTGTTTTTTCTATGTATTGTCTCATTAAGTCCTTGCCTATTTTGTTCTATTGTGTATTTATTTTATAAATAAAAAAAAGTCCATGATTAACTGCTCCGTTAGGGTGTTTACTATTCTTTTACAGAGCTCAAGGAATGGTAACTCTGCAGTTAATTTCCTAGATTCCAGTCGAACGCCTCTTGCTCTTACCCTCATCAATAGTTGAGTTTGGGGTATAGACATCCCTACACTTTTCTCATTTGTACTACCTCGAAACATTAATTTATTTTTTTCCTCCAAGTCCTTACTTAAGTTCAAGACTTAGTTTTATTTCAATTTATCATATATATTGCAGTAATTTATCGTGTAAATTTGTTGTTGCCCGACAGGATAATTACGTACATTACGTTACCACATCACATTTAAGTCAATCTCGTAATCCTCACTTAATGGTTCACCTACAGGGTTCTCATATTTTCTTCCAGTATTTAATTATTTGTATTTGTGTTGAAATCATGTTTTTCCTAGCCACCTTCCGTTCCAGCCCAGAAGAGGAACGTGCTATTTTAATTCATTCTACTAAAGCCGAACTACACACTTTATCGACAAAATATCGGCTCTCTCCTCCCCATGGTGCCACCAAAAACGAACTACGTAACATGATATTAGACTATTTAGCTGAAAATGATCTTATAACTTCAGAAGAACAGGAACAACATACAGTTGATGTATACTGTATGCATACAAATCTGTACTAGCACTCATGAAATTGAGGATAGAGTTAGCCTGCTAAGAAGCCGAGGCTGATGAACGAAAACGGGAAATGAGAAGACAAGACGCTGCATTAGCCTATGAACGAGAACAAGAGTAACTCCGGCTTCAAGAATAAGAAGCTGCACTCCAACGTGATCGAGAGCATGAGAATCTTCGGCTTCACGAACAAAAACCTGAAAGAGAACGTCAAAGACAAGAAGCTGCTGCTTTACAACGTCAACGACAAAAAGATGGTGCTTTACAACGCCAACGACAACAAAAAGAAGCTTTATAACAAACACACACATTGCTTCAAAATTACAATGATTTCAAAACACACGAAATTCACTGGCCATTACAACTCAGTAACAGAAATGTTCACCTACTTCTTCTCAACAGCTTGGTGCATTCCGTATTCTGCAGATGGCACTATCTCCATCAGGCGATACAGAGCCTGGAACACCTCGGAATCGGACTGCTTGAAGAACTGTCGAAATGGCTCTCCAAAAGACGGCATCGTTACCCTGGTGGGAAGGGCAGCAGTTGCAGGACACAATGGTGGAAGCTCATCCATGAACACACTTTTAAGCACTATACATGATTATATATTGTTCTGAATGTATGTATTTAGTGAAATATTTAATATTTTAAGACACATTACATTCAAGTTCAGAATACGTTTAGCTTTCATGAGTTTCTTTATATCGGTTCTCAGGTCACAGGATTACGAGTCCGGCATGCTGTCCACTCAACTACCAGACCCCTATGTACCATCTGCCAGTGTGTTTGTGTGTGTGTGTGTGTGTGTGTGTGTGTGTGTGTGTGTGTGTGTGTGTGTGTGTGTACTCACCTAGTTGTCCTTGCGGAGGTTGAGCTCTGGCTCTTTGGTCCCACCTCTCAACTGTCATTCAACTGATGTACAGATTCCTGAACCTACTGAGCTCTATCATATCTACATTTGAAACTGTGCATAGAGTCAGCCTCCACCACATCATTACTTAATCAATGAATTCCATTTGTTAACTACTGACTATGAAAAAGTTCTTTCCAATGTCTCTGTGGCTCATTTGGGTACAAAGTTTCCACCTGTGCCCCCTTGTTCGTGTTCCACCCGTGCTAAAGAGTTTGTCTTTGTCCACCTTGTCAATTCCTCTGAGAATTTTGTAGGTGGTTATCATGTCTCCACTTACTCTTTTGCTTTCCATGGGACGTGAGGTTCAGCTCCTTTAACCTTACCTCATAGCTCATACCTCTCAGTTCTGGGAGAGCCTGGTGGCATACCGCTGAATCTTCTCTAACTTTGTATTGTGTTTAACTAGGTATGGACTCCAGGCTGGAGCTGCATATTCCAGGATTTCTCTGACATAAGTGGTATACAGGGTCCTGAACTATTCCGTACACAAGTTTCTAAAGACAGTTCTTATATTTGCCAACCTAGAATGTGCCACTGATGATATCCTTTAGATGTGGACCTCTGGGGACAGGTTCGGTGTGATACCAACCCCCAGATTTTTCTCTCTATTTGTCTTGCAGGATTTCACCTCCTAGATGATACTTTGTGTTCAGCCTTCTACTCCCTTCGCCTAATTTCATCACTTTACACTTTCCTAAGTTGAACTTTAGTAGCCATTTTCTATACCATTCCTCCAGGAGTGTGTGTGTGTGTGTGTGTGTGTGTGTGTGTGTGTGTGTGTGTGTGTGTGTGTGTGTGTGTGTGTGTGTGTGTGTGTGTGTGTGTGTGTGTGTGTGTGTGTGTGTGTGTGTGTGTGTGTGTGTGTGTGTGTGTGGGGCGGAGCTGAGAGGATTGTGGGTCTATGCTGACGGAGCCGGCACCAGTGGGGAGCCAGCATCCCTTTAAATTCGTCCAGCTGACTCGAATTTCCGGCGGCCACCAAAGGAGCGCCGTGTTCATCTGATTTACATATTATTGCATACTTCTTTCATGTTTATGTAGTTTTCTCATCAGTAAATTTTACTTATTTTTATTATCGCTTTTATATGTCTCCTCTATCTCTTTGAGCACTGTGATCAAATGATATTAGATTGTACCACACTAGTACTGATCTATATAAATAAAAATATAAATGTTCGTTTGTTCAAATCGCTAATCTCCGAAAGTTCTTCACCAATTGCTTTAAAATTTTCTCACAACGATCCATTCGCATCCGAACGGTTTTTTTTTATATACATATTATATATGTCACATCTGTGACGAGAAAAAACATGCTTTTTTAAAAAACTGTTTTTCACGTGTTTTTCATGTGAGGGAAATCCTCGAAACCTATTTACCGATTGCCTTCAAATTTTGACATAACATTGCATTCGAATAGGTGCGTGTTTTTATATACCTACTATATACATGCCTCACCTGTAACAGGAAAAAAAACATGCTTTTTTGAAAAAACGCCATAAGTTGGACGTAAGAGCAACATATACTGGAATCTCTAAACGTTCTTCACCGATTGCTAAGAAATTTTGACATTTCTATTCGTCCATTTGAATACGCACATGTTTTTGTATACCTACTTTATAGATGCCACACCTGTGTCAGGTAAAAACTTTTTTTTTTTTAAACACTGCCATCTGTTGCATGTAATAGCAACACACGCTATCTATGTAAAGAAAAATGGAAATGTTCGTTTGTTCATAATTGCTAATCTCCGAAAGTTCTTCACTGATTGCTTTGAAATTTTCACAAAACGTTACATTCGCATTTGAGCGGGTTATTATTTACATACTATATAGATGTCATGTCTGTGACGTGAAAAAAAACATGATTCTTTAAAACATGTTTTTCATTTGAAGGAAATCTTCGAGATCTCTTTACCGATTGCTTTGAAATTTTGACACTACTTTGCATCTGAATAGGCGCGTAAATTTTATATATCTACTATACACATGCCTCACCTGTGAAAGGAAAAAATGTTTTTTTTTAAAAACTGCGCCATCTGTTGGACGGAAGAGCAACACACCCTGTAATCTCCGAAAGTTCTTTACCAATTGCTTTTAAATTTTGATACAACATTCCATCCGAATACACGTGTGTTTTTATATACCTACCATATAGCTGCCAGACCTGTGACAGGTAAAAAAATAAATTTCAAACAGCGCCATCTGTTGCACATAAGACCAACACACATTATGCTAAATATGTTACAATTCCATTTCAATGTTTCAAATTTCATTGAAAAATTGGGGTTGCTCCTGAGCTACCGTGCAGTGAGGACGTGTCGCCTGCTGCTCCGGTGGTTTGAGTCGGTTCTCACTACGTGAAGAGAGCCATGGGGAAGGCTCAGCGCAAGAGGGAATGGAAGCAGCTTTCGGACGAGGAGGGACGGTGGACCGATGTGCAGCAGGCACCAAAGAAAACTGCTATCGAGGCTTTACCACTTGCTTCTACCAGCAAGTCAGCGGACGTAATGGACCTAGAGAGGACAGCGTCAGTCACACACCAGCCAGTGTCAGTCAATGCTTCTCTGTCCGCAACGCTGCCGCGGGACGGCAGTATGAGTCAGGAGAGGACACCACCGGTTTCACGCCAGCCAGTGTCAGCCATTGTTACTCTCTCCACAGTCCAGCCGCAGGACAGCAGTATGGGACAGGGGAGGACACCGCCAGTCTCACGCCAGACATCGCCAGCCTCTGCACTTCTTCCAAAATTCAAGATCATGCAGACCGACCACTTTCCTACAGCATATGGAGTAGAAACGGCGATGGAAAAAGAACAAACAGAGCTCAAACTTTCCATTACAGTCAACCTGAAGGGAGAAATAATACTGACACCTCAAGACCAACAGACTGCACATTACTTAGAGAAGGTAAGAGTCCTGCAGGGGAAACCTGTGTGCTTGGTAAAGCTGGACCCTTCAGAACGACGCACACGAGTCGTGCTTTTGGGATACCCAATCGACTTTCCCCTGGATCCAGTGCTAGAACACAAGCAAGTCCTGAATGCGGAACGTTGCCACACAAAAGTAGACAAGGCAGCGACGCGTCAGGTTCTGGTGACCGTCATGGGACATGTGCCAGAAACTTTCGGTCTTGGAAATTGGGGGACATACCGACAGAGGCCATACGTCCCGGAACCCCTACGCTGCTTCAGGTGCCAGAAATACGGCCACCATCAGTCACGCTGCACAGGACAGGAGAGATGCGGAGTGTGCAGCCTGAGACTTCCCACCAAAGACTGTATTGCCAAGCACAAGGCAAACCAGACCACAACAGCCAAATGTCCAAATTGTGGAGGCAAACATCATGCCTGGAGCCCAACCTGCTCTGCACGGAAACAAAAAGTGCAGACAGCTCAGGCCAGGATCAACACACTGCCCAGCAATGCATACCCCAACACCAACGTCTGGAACACTCGTGCACAGCCACAACAGCCACCCACTCTCACAGAGCAAAATTTCCCGAATCTGTCAGTTCCGAATCAGACATTACACGAAAGTGTTGCAGAAGTCCAGCAAATGCAAAAGAGCAGAAAACACTTACTTTCGGAATCTACTCACCGGCTATACAGTTTTACTGAGGTCCAGCTGAAAACCATCGTGAAGATCATGGCAGAGACCATTATCAATTGCCTACAGATGACGCAGAACGCCTCACAACAACAGACTCAAGACATCACTTGTGTGATAATGGACAAGATCGTGCAGCAGACCACAGTTACACGAGAAATAGACAGTCTCCGACAGGATGGAGCACGAGAGGACAAACAACGCAACTTGGACATACTGCCTACCGACAACAGTCGGATAGTCAAGACTCCGGAACATCAACATTCACAAACGCAACTGCAAGAAGCAGTGACCACCCACGATCAACAGAATCTTCCAACACAGGAGACAGACAACAACAGCCAATGCAGTCTGATATGCAGCAACGCCAACAAAGACGTATTGAACAGCAGAGATGCACAGGTTCCGCCGACACAAGAAACGGCCACGAGCAATCAATGCAGTCCGACTTGCAGCAATACCAACAACAAAGTGGTGGACCACAGTTATGCACAGATTCCAACAATGCCGGGGTTGACCACGGACAATTAATGCAGTCCGACCTGCAGCACTTCCAACAACATAGCGATGGACCACAGTTATGCACAGATTCCAACAACGTCGGGGATGACCACGAACTATCAATGCAGTCCGATTTGCAGCGACACGACTTGCGAGGCGGAGAATATAGAGGTCGATTCCGAGGAGGAGTTCTAGTAGAACAAGCAACACCAACCGAACCCGTCGTCTAGCCATTACGAATTCTGCAGTGGAACATACAAGGTCTTGGAAATAAAAAACACACACTTCAGGAGGCTGCAATCAGCACGAAAGCAGATATCATCGTTTTGGAAGAAGCTCTTTTCCCAGCCACGAAATCCTTCAGATTAGCTGGATATCAGCACTATGTTCTACCGTATGAGCAGGGGAGACTAAGAGGATTAATGACCCTAGTCAGAAACACCATACCCAGCAAGAAAATAGACTCAGTTTCATGTGGGGATGGAGTAGAGGTATTAGCAGTTACA